GCCGGCCGGTCGGGCGCTGCCATTGCCCGACGGTTGTCCGGAGCGTCCCCGCGTGCTCCTCGGGCCCGGGGGCTCTGAGAGCATCCTCCACTGTTACTCCGGTCGCTCTCCCTAGTTACTTGGGTCCTCCTGCTATCATTTCGAACTTGCCCGACGTCATCCTACCCCCCATGTTACTCTGGGCCCCTCGAAGTTGCTCTGCCTCCAGTGTTACTCTGGGCCTCTTTTCCTGGTATTTTGGGTCTTTTTACTTCTGACCCCCACTGTTACCCTGGGACCTTCACTATGATTCTGCTCTCCACTGATACCCTCTCCTGTCACTCTCGATCTCTTCTCCTCTGAGTCCTCAGGGTGACTGTACTCTTGTGGCCCCCTTCTCTCCTGGTGCCCCTTCTCAGTTTCTCTGCCTTCCCTGGAGACCTGAGCTTGTCTCTGGGCTGGGCCCTGTCGTCCCTCACCAGTACTGCAACTCCGTCTGTGGTTCCCACGTTCCTCGGCAGTACTCCATATTTTCCCCCTGGTACTCCATGGTACTCCCTGTCTTTGCGGAGGCTGGGACGGCAGCAGAGAGGGAGCTCTGCCAGGTTCCTCGCCTGCCCTGCCAGAAGGAGGCCCTTGATCCTCCACCACCCGTCTCCTCCCCTCTGGGAGAGCTTCCAAGCCTGGGACTGCTTGAAGGAGGCAGTCCTACTGGACAGATGAAAAGTTGGGGGAAATCAGAATCCCCTCAACCCTTCCCCCAGGAAGTGGGTACATTCTGAGTGCTTCTTGCCCCCTTGCCAGGTGAGGGTCCTGCTCAGGAGGCCCTGCAGTCCTTGAGCCGACGCCTTCAGGTGCAGGAGAAGGAGATGGAGCTGGTAAAGGCAGCCTTGGCCGAAGCCCTTCGCCTGCTGCGGCTGCAGGTGCCCCCCACCTCCCTGCAGGACCTTGGTACACCAACCCCTACTAGGGACAGGTATGCATGTTGTCACACCCCCTTCCTACTCCTTGTCAGGGCCTCTTGGGGCATCAGATTGATGCACTGTCTTCCCAGCAGCCCTGCAGCACCCCCAGGACTGCCACCCACATGCAGCCCCTCCCTGGTGAGCCGAGGCACCCAGACGGAGACAGAGGTGGAGATGGAGCCATCCCTTGGACCCCCCGGCCTGAGCAATGGGCCCCCAGCCCCTCAGGGGGCCAGTGAAGAGCCTAGTGGGACCCAGTCTGAAGGAGGGGGCAGCAGCAGCAGTGGCACTGGCTCCCCCGGCCCCCCCGGGGATCCTCAGGCTGGTGCAGCCCCCACAGCGCACTGACACGTAAGCGTCCTGGGGCAGAGACTGGAAGGGGAGGGAGGACTGAGGAGCATATTTAAAGGGAATGACTTTCACCTGCTCACTGTGCTCCTAACAGGCCACGGAGAAATTCTTCCTCCTCATCCCCCTCAGAGAGGCCTCGACAGAAACTCTCCCGGAAGGCAGCTTCCTCGGCCAACCTGTTATTGCGGTCAGGGAGCACAGAGAGGTGGGCGAGGCTCCCCCACCAACCCGCCCCGCCGCCCCAGGCTCAGGCTCTTGACTTTCCGCATCCCTCACTTCACTTCCCTGGGTGGGGTGGGGGGACCTCATTGCCCAACAGGAAGAAAGGAACAAGCACTCCTGGGGCGCCTGCTGTGTACCCGGCACTGTGCTAAACCCTCGACCTCCTCCATCTCATTCAGTCCCCGTGACATCCTTGGGGGGTAGGTGGTCTCATGCTGTTCATTGCCCAGGTGAGGAAGCAGGCTCAGAGAGGGTAAGTCACTTGCCTGGGGTCACACAGCTAGAGTCAGGATTCCCACCCTACTCTTCCTGACTCCAATCCCCCTGCCCTTTTCCACCATATCAACGTACCTTACAAGATTCCAGGGAACTTTTCCAGAAGCTCCCATGATTTTTCTGGATGACTGTCCTCAGAGTTTCAGCCCTCTTCTCTCACCCCAATCTACCAGACTTGACTTCTAGAGAGCAAGGGGGAGTCCTAGTGGCCCAGCCCAGTTGTCTTTTAGTGTGTACAGGCCCCAGGACACCTGAATGTTCCTTCTTGCCCTATTCTTGGCCTCTCCTTTGTTCTCTGAAGAGAGATTGTCACCTTATTACCATCTAGTGACAGTCATCTCTGGAATTCACTTGTCACCTTCCTCTTGAGAGACAAGGACTTTCTTGCTTCCCTCTCAGATTTCTGAAAGGCAGGGCTGATGTGTGTTCTGAATTCACTTAGGTCCCATTTTACAGATGGGGAAATGGAAAGGTTGCTAGCCAGGGTCCTGGTGGTCTAGAGGAAAGTGTCACTCCACACTGCCTCTTACAGGCTTTTGTACTGTGCACGCAGCTCCTTTAGCCTCACTCACTTATCTCTTAAATGGAGCTCAAAGTCCCCATCTACTTTCGAGCCCCGATTGCTAACGATGCAAACTGAAAGCCTGCAGGGGTGGCTGTGATCTCTAGAGTAATCTCCTTCCCTGTGTCCTGCCCCTCCCCCCTCTCCGCTTACGTCTTGGGACCTGACCTCGGTCCATGTGCTTTTCTCTCTTCCCAGCAGCCGCGGGGGAAAAGACCCCCTCTCCAGCCCTGGGGGTCCTGGATCTCGGAGGAGCAATTATAATTTAGGTATGTTACAGAGGGAGCTGGGAGAACTTGGACGATGGGGTTAGGATTTGGGCTACAGTCCCAGGAGCTATTTGGGGGGACCCAGGAGGTGTGGTGGGTCGAGTTCTGCTCTGGCTTCCCTGGAGGGGAAGCTCCAGGGTGGTGTTGACACCCCCTCCTTTTCTCTGTAGAAGGCATCTCAGTGAAGATGTTCCTTCGTGGCCGCCCCATTACCATGTACATCCCGTCTGGCATCCGCAGCCTTGAGGAGCTGCCCAGCGGCCCACCCCCGGAGACCCTCAGCCTTGACTGGGTGTATCCTGCCCCCTCCAGTCCCATGGGAACCACCTTTCCCGTCTTGGGACCTCCCTCCCCCACTTCTTTATGGTTTTCTCCTGGGTCTGCAAGGAGACGGAGCCCCTGAATCCTTCCCTAACCTCCTAGGCCATTGGTGCTGCCAGCCAGAGGCCCTGTCCTCCCTTTTTCCTCATCCTGCCCTTGATCTGACCCTTTCCTTGACCACGAGCCCCACTCCAGTTATGGGTACAGGGGTCGTGACTCCCGCTCTAATCTGTTTGTGCTGCGCTCTGGGGAGGTGGTCTACTTTATCGCCTGTGTGGTGGTGCTATACCGGCCTGGGGGAGGCCCAGGGGGTCCTGGAGGTGGCGGCCAGAGACATTACCGGGGGCACACGGACTGCGTTCGATGGTGAGGGTCCTGGGGCTTGGGAGCTGGCAGCTCAAGGCATGGGGATGGTGGGCCTGACAGGGAGAGGGTCCGGAGGGGTGTGAAGGAGCAGGAGAGGAGAGTGGCCTTGCTGCTCTGCAAGCGTAGAGAAGGTATTCCGGGTGGTCTTGAGTGACTGACCCCCTTCCCTAGAGTGTCTCCTCCCCCACTTAGCCTGGCTGTTCACCCTGATGGTGTGCGTGTAGCCTCAGGACAGACAGCTGGAGTGGATAAGGATGGAAAGGTAAGGCCCCAGGCAAACACCAGGAAGACAGGACGACTTCCCAGCCCAGCTTTCCCTCACACCCCTGACTCCTTCTCCTCCACCAGCCCCTGCAGCCTGTGGTTCACGTTTGGGACTCAGAGACGCTGCTGAAGCTGCAGGAGATCGGACTGGGGGCCTTCGAGCGGGGTGTAGGGGCCCTGGCCTTCTCAGTTGCGGTGAGCTGGCCCCAGAGCCTTGAGGCCCCCATCTTCCTTGTCTGGGAACCCCCTTCTTGCCCTTCACCAGGAAGCCTCAGAGATTCTGGCCCTCCTGAGCCCTGCCTGGCCGGTTCTCCTAAGAGACACGTGGCCACCTCTCCTCCCTCAGTCTGGCCTGTCATGGCGCCCCTTGCCTAATTCAGACCGTGAACCCTGTGGCCTCCAGCCCCAGCTCAGTCCCTCTGATGTGTCCTCTCTCCTCAGGATCAGGGTGCTTTCCTCTGTGTGGTGGATGATTCCAATGAGCACATGCTGTCAGTGTGGGACTGCGGCCGGGGCACGAAGCTGGCTGAGATCAAGGTGAGGCTACCTGGTGGCCTGGAGGGCACTGAGGATGGGGAGCTGGGAGTAGAGTGTGCTGAGAGCTTCTGGTTCCCCGTAAGGACTTCCTTTCTGGCTGAGTCCCCCGGAGCAAGCCTCCTGGCCTCTCTGAGGCTGTGAAGTGGGGATGGCAGAAGTTCTGACTTTGGGAGAGACAGCATGTCAGGCACGAGGGTGATTAATCATGAGTGAC